TTCATTTGATTAGGCTCTAGAAGGTAGATCTAAAATCAGTACCTCCAGTGTCATGTACAACACATTGTTGAAATATTGAAGAAAAACCATCAGCGGCGCCGACTGCCGCGATCATGCATATCCCTTTTGATTAAAAACCGCAGTAACGAAGAAAGAAACATCCCACCGAAGGAAATGCTGACCGCATGTAGAAGCAGTCATGTATGGCTTGAACGCCGATGTTGAAATCGTAAATGTTGAAACTCCGTTTGACCCCCATATTTTCTAATACAAAACCCTGAACCCTTATGTTGAACTTTTGGTATCATCGTCGTAACTCATCACATTAACAAAACGAAAAAGAAGTTTCGTTTGTTTTCCGGAGCGACAGGTTGAAGAATGTCGTCTCCGTTTATTGAAAGAACCAGTTACACCATTTATTTGGTGTACTTCTGGCGGTAAAACTTGGCAGCGTTGACCATGTTGGTCAGGGCAGCCTTGGTCTCGGGCCACTGACGGGTCTTCAGACCACAGTCAGGGTTGATCCAGAGCTGGTCAGGGCGGAGGTAAGGAAGCATCTCCTCGATGCGATCCTTGATCTCCTGCTCGCTGGGAACACGGGGAGAGTGGATGTCATAGACACCAGGACCGATGTGGCGGGGGTAAGCCTCCTCAACGAAGACCTTGAGCAGCTTGGCATCAGACTTGCTGTTCTCAATGCTCAGAACATCGGCATCCAGAGCGGCAATGGCGTGGAAGAAGTCCTGGAACTCGGAGTAGCAGAAGTGAGAGTGGATCTGAGTACCATCGGAGACACCGGTGGTGGCCAGGCGGAAGGCGCGCACAGCCCAGGCGAGGTAGTCCTCACGCTCCTTGCCGGCACGCAGAGGGAGACCCTCACGGAGAGCAGGCTCGTCGACCTGGATGACCTTGACACCCGCGGCCTCGAGGTCAATGACCTCGTCACGGAGGGCAAGAGCCAGCTGCTGGGCCTGGACAGACTGGTGGACGTCGTCACGAGGGAAAGACCAGCGGAGGCAGGTGATGGGGCCAGTAAGCATACCCTTCATGGGCTTCTTGGAGATCGACACGGCGTACTTGGACTCCTTGACGGTCATGGGAGCGGGACGAGAGATGTCACCGACAATGATGGGAGGACGCACGCAACGAGATCCGTAACTCTGGACCCAGGCGTGGGTGGTGAAGACATAACCGGTGAGACGCTCACCGAAGTACTGAACCATGTCGTTACGCTCGGGCTCACCGTGGACGAGAACGTCGAGGTCAAGCTCCTCCTGGATCTTGACAACGTCGGCGATCTCCTTCTCGATGAACTTCTCGTACTCCTCAGCGGTGATCTCGCCCTTGGTGAACTTGTTACGCTGGATACGGATCTCCTTGGTCTGAGGGAAGGAACCGATGGTGGTGGTGGGGAAGAGAGGAAGGTTGATGGACTTGGTCTGCTCGGCAAGACGGATGGGGAAGGGAGACTTGCGGTTGTGCATCTCATCGGTGACAGCAGCCTGGCGCTCCTTGACCTTGGGGTCGTTGGTGCGAGCGGAAGAGGCACGAGCCTGAACGGACTTGGCGTTGGCCTCAAGTTGGTCACGGACAGTAGCCGGGCCCTCGGTGACGGCCTTGGCGATCACGACCACCTCGTGGGTCTTCTCAACAGCGAAGCTGAACCAATCCCGGACCTCAGCATCGAGATTCTTCTCGCTCTCTAGGGTGTGGGGGACGTGGAGGAGAGAGCTGGAGGTAGAGACAATGACTCTGTCCTTGCCGAGCTTCTGGATGGCGAGCTCAACCTTCTCAATGGCAGCCTTGAAGTTGGTCTTCCAGATGTTGCGACCATCAACAACACCGGCAGAGAGGACCTGGTTGGGGCCAAGAGCGGCAATAACAGCATCGAGCTGCTCAGGGTTGCGGACAAGGTCCACGTGGATACCATAAAGGTTGTGAAGAGCAGGGAGAACATCAATGTTGTGGACAATGTCACCGAAGTAGGTGGCAAGGACAATGCGGGGGGCCTTGTCACCGAGAGCACCAAGCTTCTCATAGACAGGCTTGAAGGCAGCCTTGGACTTGACAGGGAGATCGAACACGAGAACAGGCTCGTCAATCTGAACGTCCTCGACACCGGCAGCCTTGAGCTGGGCAAGGAGGTCAACGTAGAGGGGAACCAGGTCGTTGATCTTGTCAATGGGCTCAACTTTCTGACCACGGTCGGCCTTGGCGAGGGTCAGGAAGGAGACGGGACCCAGGATGACGGGACGAGTGACGATGCCAGCCTCCTTGGCCTCGAGGAACTGAGCAACGGGCTTGGGGTTGGCGGCGAGCTTGAAGACCTGGTTCTCCTGGAGGGTAGGCTTGACGTAGTGGTAGTTCGAGTCGAACCACTTGACCATTTCCTGTAGATATCATATTAGAATCGGGAACCTTCTGAACAAGTGGTTGTTGAAGGGACACCATACCAAGCTAGGAACGTCAATGGCGGGCTGGCCCTCAGAGGCGGGCTTCTGGAGACCACGACCCATGGCGAAGTACTCATCCAGGGGGTGAAGGTTGTACTTGCTGTATCTCTCAGGGACGACCTATTCAATGACTTTGTTAGATTATCTACCGGAATATGGATAGCAGTCAGGGGAACATACGCCGAAGAGCTGGATGTGGTCGAGGACCTGATCGTAGAAAGCAAAGTCGTTGCTGGGGATGATATCGACACCAGCATCTTTCTGGATCTTCCAGTGCTCAGCACGGAGTCTCTTTCCCTCGCTCAGGAGCTCATCACGAGAGATCTTGCCACCCCAGTAAGCTTCGGTGGCCTTCTTGAGGTCACGGAGCTTTCCCATACGGGGGAAACCCAAAACGGCGCTACAGACACAGATGTTAGGGCAAGTCAAGAAGAAAGTGTTAAACAGTCAAGAGAGTCAGTGGATTCTTACGATTGAACCATTTTGAATGATGTGTGATATGAACGAAGAGGGAGAGAGAAGAGGAGACGAGGCTTGAAAGAGAAGGAAAGAGGAATGGTAAGAGGGATGAATTGAAAAAGTCACACAAAAAGATGAGACCAAAAACAGACAGACAAGAGAGATCAGTCTCTTGCTGAAGAGAGAGTTCAAAGGGGAAGAGGGAGGGATGAGAGAGGAAGAGGGAAGAGAAGAAGCAGAGAGAGGGACGGGGGAAGGGGGAGAATATTAATATTGGGATTACTGGATGGAGGGGAACTAACCCCCTCCTCCCTCCTCGATGTGGGCCCGCCGATAGATAGGAGCAGCAGAGGGAAAAAAAAAAAAAAAATAGTAAGTCGGAGGGGAATGGAGGGGTAATTGGTGGTAATTGGCCGGTAAGACACGACACTGAGCTATTAGGTGTTTTTATTAGGACAGGTAATAATAATAAATCGATGTTTCAATGACAGTCAATGTATGATAAACTCTTCCGGAACATACCCAAGTAGTCATGAGTCAAAATGGCGTGATGGTTTTTTGTCCCTTCCAGAGTCTATCAGTCTCCATCCAATCTTTGGGCCCCATATTGTCCTCCTCCATAGACCATAGTTAGGTATGGTAGTACGTACTCCGTTACGGAGTAAGGACGGAGCATGTAGTTGGACATCGGAGAAGGCTGGCCATTCCGGCTCGGGGTCCGTGATCGGCCACTAATTAGGGACAGTATCAGATTACTGGTTCTTACCATACATACGGAGTACATGGATACCTAGGTATGGATACTATCAGAAAACTCTGGGTTTCAACAGCTGTCCTCTGCATACTGCGGAAGGGTGAAGATGCCTGATATTGGTTATGGGTACATGCAAGAATAGCTGATATAGCACAGTTACAAGTTCATTAATTATATCAGTAGGAGTGATGTGGTTGTCAGACTAGACCCTTAGATGGAAGGAATCAAGACAATTGCTTCAAACTAAGGTACCTAAGATTATCCTTGCCACGGTAGACTCGAAGTTACGGACCAAATAAGAAGGAAGCTGAGCATCATCTCTTCTCCAGTCGATCTGAATGGGACAAACCCCCAAGTACATTTGCGAGTGTAGTGTACCTAGACCGCTATTTGGGAAACTCGTACAGATCCTCGGTCAGGATGTGCAGAATCTAGATAATCATGAGATGAGCAAGTGCCTATTAATTATCGGTGACAGAATGACACAAGACGCGTAATATTCTCACCACATTGGTGCTCCTCCCGTCTACATTGACTCGGTCAGAGGCATCCATTTACATCGCCGACTGATATATTATGGTCGACCCTGTGAAGACAAATGAAGTAGGTATGAAGAGCTAGAGACGGGAACGGCCAATAATGTCCCTAGAGGTCTTCATCAAGAATGGAAGAATTGCAAAGTTGTCGGTTCAAAGGCCAGAGGAAGCAAGAACCTGAATGCCTCCTTCCTTTTCTTGACCCTCAACACCAGGCTTCCGTTCGCTGCTTCCATTCTGAGCATCCATGATCATCCTCATCAGAGTCTCCGGGCTGAGCCTGACCTCGACGGCTCAACCCGGGGGCATGCCTCGCTTCAGCAAACTACGCAGCGATCGGTGTCTCTGCAAGGATCGCATCCTGTCTGCACGGAAACCTCACTGATGCTCAATGGATCTCCTTCTCTGCCGTCGGTTTAGAAGGATTTGGAAATCCCCCTCCTCATCCGTCGCTGAACAATCATACCAACTGAACGAGACAGAGTCACCACTCTTCCTAGATGACCATCCAAGAGGTGATTGAGAATGACCTGCTGCTTACATCTTTGCTGGACACCCTTTCTAACATGAACAGGCCTTGCATCTGCGAACGAATATACAATCGTACCTCAAAGCCCAAGAAACTCCTCTGAAGGTATTTCCGAAAGGCTTCGAAGGAGGCTCTCTCGAGAGTCAAGAAGACCGAACGTGGCTTCACGAAGATCTGACAGGAGATCTGGCACCTCTTTGTTCTCAATCTCTTCGAAGTCTGCGAAGTACGGCGCCGTCGTCACACCACATGAGTTTGGAAGTGGCTTGATGAGCGAAAGAGGCTATGATAGTGATGCACAGTTCATTTCTACTCCAACTCACATTGCGGATTATGTAAAGGCTGCAGCCAGTATTGGTCGTAAGGGTGTACCCCCTGCCCAACCCTACCGCAACGAAGGGAAGAGTCTCTGTGCAAAGGACGAAAAGTGTCCGATATATCAGCATACAGAAGTGTCACTCAGTTCACCGGAGCATGAAGGCTGGAGTCCGCAGGCATTGCATGGGCTTTTCATCTCCCACGAACCCAAGGTCCAAAGTCCTAAAGCCAGAGGGAGTCCTCGTCCTCGCGCGGGCCTGAACAATGAAACTACTCCCAACGAGAACAATGAGAACTATGGCCCTGTCCCAATTGCTTCAGCTTCAGCAGCATCCCTGAACATCTTTGATGACGAGGACATCATCTCTCCTGCTCTTCAAGAACAGCCAGGGTCTTCTGGTCGCGGCTCTAACAGGCCAGACCATCCTCTTAATCTGCTCGGCCCGTTAACCGAGCACTCTCCAGAACTTCTAATCACAAAAAGAAGACAACGACATCCAGTATCGACATCCGAAGGCCAATCGATCCACCTCACGGATATGAACATCTCTAAGATGCTTGCGTCTGCGTCAACTTCACCTCGAATCCTTTCGGCCAGTCAATCAAGCGATGAGAACCCGCCCGGCAGCAACTCGGGTACTTGGACGGCGCAATATCAAGGCGGCAGCCTCGGTGCTCCCGCTAGAATATTGACACCGTTCTGGGACGCAGGGGTATTAAAGCTGGGGGTGCAAGATGCGAGGCAAGCATCTTCGTGCTACTCTCCTAGGACTAGCTCCGCGTCCGCTGACGTTCCAGCGAATATTGAGAAGACAAATGTGAACCAAAACAAGCGAGAAATCAACTGCAGCAGGACACCTTTCGCTGCTCTTTCACTTGATGCTTCATCTCGAAGCGTACCACTCTCGGAAACTAATGTTCCATCTTTGCATGATGGCTCCCTTGGCAAAACAGATGCCTTGAAGAGCAGATTTACAGAACAGTTTGACTTGAACCGGTCCATAACCTCCCTCGGATCCGTCGCAATGAGCAGTGGAATGACGTCGCCGCGCAAAGTCAGCATTGGATGGATGTCCGGAGGGCGACGTCTCGGCTATGGATATACTCTGGTAGATGGAGACAAGGACGACACTGCTGAGAAAGAGTCCAGCAAGGCATCATCGATCAAACCCCACATTTCGAATATCATTGATCGTTTGAGAGTTCACCGCTGGTCTGGCGCAACTGCTCTCATCAGGCCTTCAAATGCCAGCGACTCTGCGAGTTGCGACTCTGTCATCAATTCTCCCTCCTGGTTTAGGCTCCCAGATCGAAAAAAGTATCACGCCGACGCTCACATGTCTGATAACCGAAGAGCTCTATGGAGCCTGAAACCTGGAAACTGCTCGAGCGACTGTCTGTGTGAGCGTCATGCATTGGGGAAGCGTGCGTCAGCCTCTGATGAGACCCTCGGAGAAAGTTCTATGGGATCTGCGAGAGAACCACAGTCATCACAAAGCCTACGAATGGGACAGCACGATCTTAAGCATAAAGAGCATAGGCATACGACGACGACAACCAATCCTAACTGTCAATACGCCATTGGTCGAAGAAAGGGAGCACAAATCATGAAATTGAGGTTCTCCAATCATAGGAGTTGGCGCGATACTGCGAGCGATGATGTGTCAATGTCTCCGTCAAAGCTTACTGTGAAGGAAGAGAATTCACACAGTACTTTTCAAGACAAAGAAGGATGCATAACCTCACAAGATGTCTTTGAACGACCCAGTGTCCAGCAGTCAGAAGGGGACAATGAGAAATACCTTCGATGCGCTGACCAGGAAACAATTACCGATGATTGGGCTAGCATGTACCAGGACTGCCTCGAGTTGTATTCCGACCCAGAGTGAAGTTCTCTGGAGGAATGGATCCTTTGCCTAGAGAGACGGAGTGCGGATTGAATTTTCGGCGAGAGCCAGGAAGAGGTGTTCGAGGGGCGTAGTCTGATGGAACATGGATGGCTTCAAATATTGCCTTTTTCGGACTGTCTATCAAAGGCGAGCAGTGACATCCATGGGACCATGCCGTTTGTTTAATTCACAATGTTATCCCTATTAGCACATAGAAAATATGAAGACTGCCAATGGACCAGAAAAGGAAATCAATTCATGTAGTCGTACAGAGGTATATTAGAACGCAGAAACACCGAGGCCAGATATCCCACCGAGCGAGCTATTTCTTTTGCCGCTTGGTACTCTTGTCACTCCCATTGCTCAGTACACTGGCTGAGCGTTTATGAGATACGCCCTCGCGGTCCTCCGTACTCTGATCCGCATCTTTGCCGGCTTCGGCACCTTTCTGCCCCTTATCAGCATGCTCTTCCACGGCATTTTTAATCGGATCTGCCGAAGGAGCAGCGGTAGCAGAGTCTCCAGCTGCAGAATCAGGATTCTCCAGCTCTTCGGACTTGACCTCGGGCCTTTCCTTGTCCTTGACCTCCTTCGTCTTGCGCTCTCTTTCCTCTCTGGCTGCCTCCAGAACACGGATCTCACTATCGACCTTCTCCGACACTTTGCGCGCATCAAGCAACAGGTTGACCGAGTGGATAAGCTTCTCGAATTCCTTGCACACGCGCTCCGTGGGCATAAGCAGACGCGGCGGGATCTCCAGCTCTGCCAGCGCCGTGGCGAGTTTCTGAGACTGCACGTTGGACTTGGCCTGGGTGAGCTTCTGTGCGCGGTCGCTTCGGAACTGCACGCCCGGGGCAAGACGTTCGTGGTGCTGTACGCCGTACCTGGCTTCTTCGGCCGGGGTGAGCGTCTTGACAGTTTGCGGGGGTTCTTTGGCGGCGGCGGCGGCCGCTGCCGCTGCCGCTGCCGCTGCCGCTGATCCCTTCTTGCTGGATGGAGCGGCGGATGCATGGCTGGGGGTATCTGCTCGGCTGTCGCGCGCGCTGGTTGGGGCGTTCGATGTAGGCGTTTGTCCTGCGGGGCTGGGCGCGGCGGCTTCGGGTCCGAGGATGGAGCGTCGCTTCTTGCTCTTGTCGGCTTGGAGGAGGGTTTGTAGGAGTTGGGATAAGCCCTGGCTAGACTGGTATATGGTAGTATTGCCCACACTGATGGGCACTTCGAGTCTGGAGTAGAGCTCCCTGCGTTCGGTCATGAAGTTTTGCTCGTTGGATGTGATGCGTTTGAGTTCTTCCAAAAGTATGCCTTCCTCGCGTACTTCGTCTGCGGTGCGGTTTAGTTGGAGTGCAGCGAGCTCTTTGCGAGCCCGCTCGCGGTCTGGGTCGAACTTCATCATCTTCTCGTGCAGATCGAATTCGGCTTCGGACATTTCCGACGGGGGATGTTCCAGGGCGAGCATTGATGCGGCGATGAAGTAGTACCGCGCTTTCATCTGCTCCATTGTTCGATACCGTTTAGCAGGGACAAGCGCGGTCGCAGTCGCTTCGGCGTCTATGAGTTGAGGCTGGAAATCGTAGCGATCGGCAATAACCACCCAGCGGAGATCGTACTCTTCGACCACGTCCATCAGATAGTCCGTTTCCTGCCGCGACCAGTCATCGCTCTTCAAGTGCCGGTTGTATTCCTCGTCCGTGTAGCGCCTCGGTACTCGAGCTTTGACATTGTATTTTGCAAACGCATATTCCTTTTCTGGTTTTGAAGCGCCTCCTTCCACTGTCGCCTCATCGACCTCCATCTCCGACGATCCTTCAAGTGCCGGTGCTTTTGCGGATTCTGGTTGTCTTTGCCAGTGACGCAGAACAAGTCCATCCGATCGAGCATTGTTGGTGAAGGGGGTCATTTGCCTGGTAAGGAAGAATAATCAGCACCGCCATAACATCAAATCTCCGCAAGTCAAGAGCATACCATGGGCGCACTCTGAGCTTGCTCATCCATTTCGGCCGTCCCTTGTATCTGTTCTCGTTGATGGCGATCGGAGGCGCCCTTTCGCCTAGAAGCGCGTAGAGCTCACGAGTAATACCCTCTGAGGCATAGATATCAGTGTCTGTGTCTGGTAAATTTTTCATGAATGCAAACCGACCTGGTCGCTTTTCGACCACCTTTTGTTTCTTGTGAGGTCGAGGCTGCCCCTCTGCGGGCAAATCCAGCATGTCGCGCACATCCGCGGCGGCCATGATGGCGATAAATCACCGGAAAAGGCTTCAGTTGATCTAAAAGTTCACAAGATGATCGGATACCTCTAGTGACAGAGTACTGGATAAGAAATTAAAAGAAAATCCAAAGGTGGAATTAATGATGAGATGCCGAATGTGATGGCTGAAAGAAGGAACCGGCACGCAGAAAACGGCCGGTTTGCTCCATTCCGCCCATCGAATCGCGCCAAGGCCGTCCCGTCGTTGGTGCCAGATCTTCAGATTCAACATTACCAGGTCGACCATCGACAAAGCCAGTTTCTCTTCCAGCATCAATTGTCGTCTTGACTACATTTGGGATCTTCAACATGGCTCCGACCAGATCATCGGCCTCGTGGCTCTCATCAGCCCTGGCCCTGTGTGCTATCCTCTGTCTTGCTGTGCCCGCCAATGCCCTCTATTTCTATATGGACGGTCGTCAAACAAAATGCTTCTTTGAGGATCTTCCCAAGGACACTCTGGTTGTTGGTACGTGATGGTTATCCCATTGACCCCTGTTCATCTCTGGTTTGATTGCTGATTGAAAATTTATTCGGAATGAGCAGGAAACTTCAAAACCGAAGTCATCAACCAGCAGTCTAACACGTACTCCGTCGACCCAAGCTTAAAGATGCTCATCACCGTCGACGAGACCTTCGACAACGACCACCGCGTCGTCTCAAAGCGCGACGGTCATGCCGGCCGCTTTACCTTCACCGCCGCCGACGCCGGCCAGCACAGAATCTGTCTTACTCCCGACACCAACGCTGCCACGGGCGGCTGGCTGTCCGGTGCCCCCGCAGGTGCCGTCAGGGTAAACCTGGACATCGCCATCGGCGAGACGAGCAAGATCGAGACAGAGGACAAGGACAAGATGAAGGATATTGTGCAGAAGGTCAAGGATCTCAACGGGCGGTTACAGGACATTCGTCGTGAGCAGGTGTTCCAACGGGTATGTTGTTCTTCCAACTTCCTACACTGATCGAATTGGAATGGTGTTGCTGATTGCCAACTTTCGTCGATTGTAGGAGCGCGAGGCTGAATTCCGTGATCAATCCGAGGCTACCAACTCCCGAGTCGTGCGCTGGACCCTCATCCAACTCGCCGTGCTTTCCGCCACATGTGCCTGGCAACTGTCGCATCTTCGGTCCTTCTTCATCAAGCAGAAGCTGACGTAAGGGGGTGAAATTGGGCGCAGGAGAGGGAGACTACTCGGCGTACATCTGTTGCATGGGAAGTAGCATTCTTTTTCTCTCAATCTGTATCATCTCAGCTTGATATGTTTGCGGACTATGGAGCATACCCTCAGACAACCCAGCTGCTAAGATGGGTATATAAATGTAGACTGTCTACGCTTGTTTGGTGGGTTGGCACGGACGCGGTATCTTGGCTGCGGTTAAGACAACGAGGAGGAAATGACCTGTGATGACACTTGTGAGCTGGGACACTCATGCTATCCTGGGTTCTATCTGTTGCATTTCCAGCGTTCTGTTGTTATAGTTGTGGATTGAGCTTAATATGGATGTAATGACTTGGTTTACAAATCAGTGCCCTCTGTGCGTTCTTCATGTAGCCTGTACTAGAAGAAACGAACTGCTTGCCAGTCGGCCAATTCCATCTAATATTGGAATACAAATGTACTTATATATTTTGATCCTGTCACAGTCATCGGCCGTAAATGATGTATTAACAAGAAAGACGTATCGCTCATCATAAAATTAAGCAAAACGATTCCGTGCATGAGTTTCACCTTACACGGAACTGGGTATAGAAAACATTAAGTAGGCATTTAAACAATGAAAGGCAAAAGGCAGAGAGGTGAGTAGGCGGCGGTAGTAGCAATGCAAATCATGTCAGGTGTCATAATATGTTCATCCGGTCGAGACTTGGACTTGTCGCCTCGCTGCAGAACTCAACGAGCAATCGTTCCAGATCTGACAGCTTATAAGGTTTGGTCATGTAGCCTTTGATGCCGACTTTGGAGGCGCGTCCGAGAGCCTCATCGGTTACATCTGCACTGACGGCAAGGACCGTGGGAGGCGGCAGCAGTAAGTTACTGGACGAATCGTCTGTGAATTGACAGCTCGGTTGATTCCGAAGGGCCTGGCACCGGTACTCATCTACCAGTCTGAGGATCTTCGACGTTGCCTCGTAACCATCCATTTCCGGCATCCAGAGGTCCATTAAGACGACGTCAACTGGTTTCGTGCGCTTACGTCGGTGATCGCTGTCGCCCAACTGATCCTCTGCTTGTCTTTTCTGACAGTCAGAGGACCGACTCGAGCTTTCGGATAACTGAGATGCCAAAACATCCTGCATTACGCGCACAGCTTCCTTTCCGTTGCAAGCTTCGTAAATATCCTGGTACCCGAGCCGTTTGAGCATGTTCACCAGAACCCGTCGGTTGATCATATTGTCTTCAGCTACCAGGAAGGTGAGCGGATGCTTTTGTCCGAGCTTCTTGTCATACGCATCCCCATTAATTGAAGGGCGGATAAATTTCGCGGTGGACACGGAGCGAACGGGGGTAGATGTCTGAGACAAAGTTTCTTCTGTCAAGCTTGGGGAGGGTTGTTGGATCGGCTGCCTCGGCAGGCGAATCGAGGGTGATAGCATGGACTGCTCGAAGCCGGAATTGCTCAAGGTAATCGTCGCGCTCAATCGCGACGGATCGCCGCCGTCAGGAGGCGTCAGATTACTTGGCATGCAAGCTACCGGCTTGTTGTTTGACTCGGATTGAGTGACGGGAATACTAATTTCAAATTCCGAGCC